TCAATGATGACTCATTTCTGAACTCGTTTTGTGCAACCCAAAAAAATTGATCTATTCTAGCCAAATTAGACATCTTAACTTCTATAAAAACACTCCTCTCAACCTCATAATTCATTTGGTGTCCTCATTATCCCTAAAAATATCCAAAATCTTCATCGAGAAGAGGAGGAGATCCGGCCGAAACTTCAAGGTCGTTGATCTCTCTCCTCCAAGCAACGACAACCTAAACCACGACCATCATTGGGTTTGCGATGGTCTCTTCCATTATATGGGGTGGTTTTAGCCAAATTGGACCCCCTAACTTCTACGAAACACTCTTCTTAGCCTCGTGAGTCAATTGGTGTCCTCATTATCCCTAAAAATATCCAAAATCTTCATCGAGAAGAGGAGGAGATCCGGCCGAAACTTCAAGGTCGTTGATCTCTCTCCTCCAAGCAACGACAACCTAAACCACGACCATCATTGGGTTTGCGATGGTCTCTTCCATTATATGGGGTGGTTTTAGCCAAATTGGACCCCCAACTTCTACGAAACACTCTTCTTAGCCTCGTGAGTCAATTGGTGTCCTCATTATCCCTAAAAATATCCAAAATCTTCATCGAGAAGAGGAAGAGATCCGGCCAAAAACTTTAAGGTCGTCGATCTCTCTCCTTCGGCAATGACGACCCAAGCCACCACCATTGTTGGGTTCACGACGGACTCTTCCACTACGTGGGGTGGTTCATGCACCTAGATGGACACCGGATGGTGACAAACATCTTAATAATAGGTTTGGGTCTTTCTAAAGGCATTTTGATAATTTTACCCATAATAGCATTTTGGTCATTTTTCAATAGCATCACAAGGTTATTTTGGTTAGTCTTTAATGACCATTTGATTTTTTTATTACCTCTTTATTTTTTATGCATAGATGCTTTTTTTTATTGTTAATTTGTGTTTAATTTAGATTTAGTATTTTGAATTTATTTAATTAATGTTAATTTTAAAATTTATTTTAATAAATAGGTTAGGTAATTAATAGGTAGACAAATTGTCAAGTCTCCTAATTCTTAGGGACTAATGACGATTCTCCACCTACAAAAACAAAATGAACAAAAAAATGGTATGAAAAGAAAGAAAACAAAAAGAAAATGCTAGAAAAAAAGAGAGAAAAAAAAAGAAAATAGAAAAAACACAATCTATACACACACACACACACACACACACACATACATATACATATACATACACATGCACACACACACACACACACACACACACACACACACACACACACACACACACACACACACACACACACATATATATATATGTTCATAAAGTCTCTTATCTAATAGAGACTACCGTTAATAAAGAAAAATCACTCCAATAATTAGGGTGTTCTCCGACATACTAGTTATGTCAAGACTAAAAGTAAATCTAATATTTGAACTAACATGTCTCTCAATGAAGGGATTTGATAATTGATTCAATACGATGTCACAAATAAAACTAAAAAACTTAATTTAGCCTAGCAAAAAAAAAAAAACTTGGTTTAAATTGGAAATAATTTGTCACAAATAAAACACCTTAAGAGATAAATGCTAGGATTCAACTAGACATGGTACCTTTCTTATGAAAGGGCACTTTTGGATGATCAATGTCTTTCGAAAAGTATAACTAACTTTTTATCCTAGAATCTCTACACCGGTACCTTTTTAGGTTTTTAGTTCACGTAATACTAGGTGGTAACTCCTAAAATCAATAATAACTCACATCCACTAGAATAAATCGTAAATAATCCAAAATAAACAAAATCTTAAATTCTTTTTTTGGGTGTCCTATCGGATGTTGGGTGACATTAGTACACTCACACATATCACATGTGTTTATTTTATAAGCACGAGATCGGCTTTCGAGCTAGCAACAAAAATCATAGTACATTCATATGAATCTCATTTAAATGATCGTAAACACAATGTCAACCTTCAAAGTTAACATCGATTAATTTATCACATTTGCATATGTCATATATCATATTTAATTAATCATAAAAGGCATCAACCTACAAAGTTAACACCGATCAATTTATCATATCCTCGGCTATCACATTTATGTTTTCCCAAACATAGTGTTCTCTTTCAAATCTAACACCAAGCATCATAGCTCTTACATTATTGATCAATCTCATACATAGCATATTCACATATAACATGCACTCATCCATAAACACGGCATCGGCCTTCGGGACTAACACCGATCACTTTATCATATACTCATATCTCTTTTAATAGATTACAAACATGGTGTCAACCTTTAGTGTTAACACTATCGAATCCACACATATTACATTTAATCAATGACAAACAAAATATCAACCTTCAAAATTAATATCGCATATATATATCACATTTAATCGGCCATATCAAACAAATAACATAACATGCTTAATTACACACACTAGGATTGACACTATCCTCAAATAAATCATTTGAATTAAAAATCATACCCAATCCGCCTGACTCCATCGCTAAACATTGACATCGACCTTATTTTTTCTCAAGATACCTAATGTCTTTAGTGCTTTCGGATTCGACATGCAACAATCACACTTCAAATATACTAACTTTAATAGTTTAATCTCAAAATCTACTCAAGCTCCAAATGCAAGAAAAAGCTAGTGTAACCTTGTTAAACCCTTTGACGAAGACAACAAACAAATGTTATTAGCCGAAGAGGAAAGGTTAAAACTTGTAAATCAATATATTCCTCTTTTTTTGCTTACTCTATCTAATATGTATTAAAGGTTTAAATTAGCCAAAAATAAACTTTAAACCATAATGGGTCTAATTTTTGGACAACAAGGTTCAAGGGTTATTTTAGGCTTCATCAACCAATTTTTTTAAGAGAATCATCATAATCTTTCGGAGGGCATTTTTAGGTTTGGTTTATGGGTGTTGATGGTGGCAAAAATGGACTAACGGGTTGTAAGGAAGATTAAGGTTGTTGAATCTAAGGATTTATGGTGGAAGGTTTTAGTTTTGGTGGTTGTGATGGTGAGGGTTTTAGGGTTTATGATAGAGCTTGGTGCAATAGGTCGTTATGAGGATGATCAATTGTAGTAGGCTAGGGTTGCTAGCGATAGTGGTTATGCTAGGTTAGCTTGGGGATTAATGGGTTTGTATGATGGCTTCTATGAGGGATTGTTATGATGGTTGTGGAGTTTAATAGTAAAAAGAGGTTATGACTGACATGTTGTTTAGGGGTTGACGAGTTGATTAGCAAGATAGGTTTGATTTTTGGGAAAAATTGTTATAGGTGCTATAGTTGATGGCTTAAGTTATTGTTATGGCGAGTGGAAGGGAAGAGGTGATTAGTGGCTAGTGAAGTTTTGGCTGAAGGAACTAGCACTTGGGGGAGGAATGGCTAAGGTTGGCTTTCTTCTTGAAGGTTGAAAATAAGGAATCTTTGGTAGTATAGAGGTTTGGATGGGTTTAGGTTAACTAGTTCAAAAATAGGCTTGGGAATTTTTTTTTTTTTTTAGGAGAATGGCTACCACCTTTATGAGAGAGAAGAATTGTAGCTTTTATAATGGGGTGTTTAGGGTTGTGAGTAAAAGTTTGGCTTAGTCCTCTATCTTTACTGCTTTTTTTTTTAAAAAAAAAGAAAAATTAGTATGTATCTCTTTATTTCTTCAAGTATCTCAATCTCACATTGGAAAAAAGATTAATCTCATTCGAGAGGGAGCGACAAGGTTTAACTTCTCCCAATAAAAACGAGTCTAGGATTTGAATATTGCATATTGATAGAAAATTTATAGAAGAACTAGTTCACTTACTATTGGACAATTTTCTAAAATAGATTTTAAAATACATATTTTGCGAATGCATGTAAATTAATTAAATTCCTTAATTGAGAATGACAACTTGCATAAAATGATTACTAATTGGAGAATAAGATGCGAAGACCTAAATCTTGATAACCCATCCTCTCCCTATATTTTCTTGTTTTTTTTTTCAAGTATTAAACAAAATTCAATAACAAGCCATCTATCATATTTTCTCTAAACGGGGATGTGTCAAATTTTCATTTAATTCGAGGGTACATGAATTTCGGTGCATTTAGGGGGGTGGGGGAGAGGGCGGGGAACAAGTATGCAATCCAAATTACAAAATCTCAATCAAATATAGATTATAAATTAACCCCTCTAGTTTTTTTTTTAAAAAAAATTAATTAGTCTTTTTGTTCAAAAACTATTATTTTATGTTTTTAAATCTACTTGTAACTTCATCTTCTTCTTTTTTTCAATGTATTTTGATTTTTTTAAAATAAATAGAAAAAAGAAAAAAAATAAGTAAAAAAAAAATTGATGAGAAAAGAAGATATTTTTTAGAATAAAGATAGATTAAATTAACTTTGGTCAACGGTGGTAAATGAATTAAATAATTAGTTTTTGAAATAAGAAAAACTAATTAATTCATTAAAAAAAAACTAGAGGGACTAATTTATAATTTATGTCAATCAAGTGCTTATACCACTTTTAAATTTTTCTTGTCAAATTAATCCCTATGGAAAAAGACATAGGTACAATTTTCTCTTGTGTATATTTCTCAATTTCTTGAATACACATGAGAACAATTAAAATTTACCTCACTATTGCTTGTTCATGGAAGATCCATGAAATAAGTCTCCAATTCAAATTTTATCCATTTTAATTATCTAATTAATTAAAGCTATAAAAAGAATCAAGCAAATCCTTTTGAATGTGGAAATCAAGAAGAATATTCATATCTCTCAAAGCTCAAAATCAAGAGAAATAATTTTATTATTTTGTGTCTATGCTAACATACAAAACCATATATATCATATAATTCTATCTACCTTACGAGTTTTTTATGATTCGTTGCTCGATCTAAAGATGAGCTACGAAGCAAGAAAATCTTCTTCAAATGCTTGAACATCACAACAATACCCTGTCTTTATGCCGAGCAGGAGCACTTATAAGGTCATTTTTCTCTAATTTAGGCATCTTTCTTGTCACAACAAAGCTGATTCACCCCTTTTCCAAATTCGGAATCCAAACTATCATCCGAATATTGTTTCTTATTGCCTAAGGAATTACAAGAAACCCTTAGAAGCACCTCTTCATTGAAGTTCTCCCATAACATATCCATCTTCTCCTCACTACTCTCTATCTTCACTTCACTTATTGTAAAGGGAGAAGCTTTTCCTATAAAGGGAGAAGACAAGTATGCAATCCAAATTACAAAATCTCAATCAAATATAGATTATAAATTAACCCCTCTAGTTTTTTTTTTAAAAAAAAATTAATTAGTCTTTTTGTTCAAAAACTATTATTTTATGTTTTTAAATCTACTTGTAACTTCATCTTTTCTTCTTCTTTTTTTCAATGTATTTTGATTTTTTCAAAAGAAATAGAAAAAAGAAAAAAATAAGTAAAAAAAAAATTGATGAGAAAAGAAGATATGTTTTAGAATAAAGATAGATTAAATTAACTTTGGTCAACGATTGTAAATGAATTAAATAATTATTTTTTGAAACAAGAAAGACTAATTAATTCATTTAAAAAAAAACTAAAGGGACTAATTTATAATTTATGTCAATCAAGTGCTTATACCACTTTTAAATTTTTCTTGTCAAATTAGTCCCTATAGATAAAGACATAGGTACAATTTTCTCTTGTTTATATTTCTCAATCTCTTGAATACACATGAGAACAATTAAATTTTACCTCACTATTGCTTATTCATGGAAGATCCATGAAATAAGTCTCCAATTTGAATTTTATCCATTTTAATTATCCGATTAATTATAATTATCTAATTAATTAAGGCCATAAAAAGAATTAAGCAAATCCTTTTGAATGTGGAAATCAAGAAGAATATTCATATCTCTCAAAGCTCAAAATCAAGAGAAATACTTTTATTATTTTGTGTCTATGCTAACATACAAAACCATATATATCATATAATTCTATCTACCTTACGGTTTTTTATGATTCTTTGCTTGGATCCGAAGATGAGCTTTGAAGCAAGAAAATCTTCTTCAAATGCTTGAACATCACAACAATACCCTGTCTTTATGCCGAGCGAGGAGCACTTATGAGGTCATTTTTCTCTAATTTAGGCATCTTTCTTGTCACAACAAAGCTGATTCACCCCTTTTCCAAATTCGGAATCCAAACTATCATCCGAATATTGTTTCTTATTGCCTAAGGAATTACAAGAAACCCTTAGAAGCACCTCTTCATTGAAGTTCTCCCATAACATATCCATCTTCTCCTCACTACTCTCTATCTTCACTTCACTTATTGTAAAGGGAGAAGCTTTTCCTATAAAGGGAGAAGACAAGTATGCAATCCAAATTACAAAATCTCAATCAAATATAGATTATAAATTAACCCCTCTAGTTTTTTTTTAAAAAAAAAATTAATTAGTCTTTTTGTTCAAAAACTATTATTTTATGTTTTTAAATCTACTTGTAACTTCATCTTTTCTTCTTCTTTTTTTCAATGTATTTTGATTTTTTCAAAAGAAATAGAAAAAAGAAAAAAATAAGTAAAAAAAAAATTGATGAGAAAAGAAGATATGTTTTAGAATAAAGATAGATTAAATTAACTTTGGTCAACGATTGTAAATGAATTAAATAATTATTTTTTGAAACAAGAAAGACTAATTAATTCATTTAAAAAAAAACTAAAGGGACTAATTTATAATTTATGTCAATCAAGTGCTTATACCACTTTTAAATTTTTCTTGTCAAATTAGTCCCTATAGATAAAGACATAGGTACAATTTTCTCTTGTTTATATTTCTCAATCTCTTGAATACACATGAGAACAATTAAATTTTGCCTCACTATTGCTTATTCATGGAAGATCCATGAAATAAGTCTCCAATTTGAATTTTATCCATTTTAATTATCCGATTAATTATAATTATCTAATTAATTAAGGCCATAAAAAGAATCAAGCAAATCCTTTTGAATGTGGAAATCAAGAAGAATATTCATATCTCTCAAAGCTCAAAATCAAGAGAAATACTTTTATTATTTTGTGTCTATGCTAACATACAAAACCATATATATCATATAATTCTATCTACCTTACGGTTTTTTATGATTCTTTGCTTGGATCCGAAGATGAGCTTTGAAGCAAGAAAATCTTCTTCAAATGCTTGAACATCACAACAATACCTTGTCTCTATGCTTGAGCGGGAGCACTTATGAGGCCATTTTTCTCTAATTTGGGCATCTTTCTTGTCACAACAAAGCTGATTCACTCCTTTTCCAGATTCGGAATCCAAACTATCATCCGAATATTGTTTCTTACTACCTAAGGAATTAGAAAAAACCCTTAGAAGCACTTGTTCATTGAAGTTCTCTCATAACATATCCATCTTCTCCTCATTACTCTCCATCTTCACTTCACTTGCTGTAAAGGGAGAAGCTTTTGATGTAAATATCTAACTCTCTTCCACCATCTTTTTTGGCAATAATTCGGATAAACTAGGAAGTTACACACCATAATCATAATAAGATTGGAAAGTGAGAAAGAGGGCTGGTCATCTTTGGGAAGTCGAAGTCTTCGATGACACCATAGCTGCTTTTGCTTAGCGTGATTATTAGGGATGGTTATGCTTAATATTGCTTAGTCTATAAAACAAATAAGAAAAAGAGAATAATATTAGTTTGGAGTTGAAAAGTATAAGAATTTTTTCAATGGATTCTTCTTTTTGTTCTTTATTTTTTTATGTGGAGAAGCAAAGATAAGTCAAAGCATATTAATGTCGAGAGAGACTTGAGTGATAGGAAAAGGAATGAAAAATGGGAGAAATTAATTATTTACAAATCCATGAGTTGATAAGTAAACATGCTCTTTAATCATGCCAAAACGTTCCTATCTACTAAGAAAGTTATTTTTAATGTTTACTATAAATATTCAAAAAAGATATGCTCTTCTATTATTATAAAATTAATGGTAATGAAAGTTTAGGTCGGGGAAAGTGAAGACACTAAAAAGATTTTTCAAGAAGAAGAGGGAAGTGATTTTGCTTGATTTAATGGTTGAAAGAAATAGGTAACTCCTACGAAGTGAGACTCAAGTGAAGAAAAGGCAAGAGAAGATAATGAAGTAGTTGGCCATGGCCAACTGGACCACCCACCACTAATTAAACATGGAACAAAAATGCCGATCGAGGGAGAGCCATATAGAGTTATAGTCATTTATATAGATATAATAAATTTTATGTTAATTTGTTTTCTATATATGGAGGGTGGAGCATATGGTATCTATGAACATGATAATTAATGTACGGATGTTAATATACTAATCCAACTATGAATTAATGACTTATTTAAAAATAATGATTTCATGAGTAGCGTCAAGCCCATAAACATATATAAGATGATGATGCCACAAGCGGCATCATGTCCATAAACACATATTAAAAATGGCGATGCGGTGAGTGGCATCGAGTCGATAAACACATTAACAAAGATCATGTTATAAGTGGCATAAAGCTCATAAACACATATAAAATAGTGAGCCATTAATGACATCTAGCCTATATATACATTCAAAGGTGGCGAGCCGATAATGGCTTCGAGCCCAACACATTCAAAAATGGCGAACCAATAATGACATCATGCTCATAACTCATAAAATTGACAAATGACTAACGAGCATCGAACCCATAAACACATAAAATTGGCGAGCCATTAATTGCATCAAGCCTATATCACATTCACAAAATTGACAAGCTACTAATGGTGTCAAACCTATAACACATAAAATTAGTGAGACACTAATGACATCAAGCCCGTATCACATTCACAAAATTGGTGAGCCACTAATGATGTCAAGCCCATATCATAATCATAAAATTGGCAAACTACCGATGGCTTTATGCTCATAACACATATAAAGTTCACAATGCCATGGATGGCATCAAGGCCATAACACGTTCAATGACATTAAAATATATATCACGGTCGTTTTGAAGGATCATGCATCCTATGGAAGTGCAAAATAAATAAAAAAATTTCCTCCATATAAGGGCTCAAGGTCAAGTTGTTGAATCTATTAACCATACATACGTGAATTTAAAGCAATTAATAAAGAATTATCTCTTATAGCGTAGATCTATATTCTTTTATCAAAAAATTCGTTCATGTATCCGACCTCTACTAATGATTCATATAGTCTAAGTACCCACAAAGAAGCATTCAATATTGATAGGATGCTAGCTCCATCTTTTCTTATTTGTGTAGTATTCCTATAGAAATATACTCCAGGTAATTTTTGTGACAACCTTAAAAAGAAGAAAAAAACATGACATGTTAGGGTTTTGGAGAAAACTATTTTCTCTTTTCTTTCTCACTCTTTGCCGTGTGCCCTAGTTCGGTTTTTAGTTTCTCTTTTCTCTCCTTTTTTTTTTGTTGCACCTCTCTCTCTCCTATATATTTATAGGAGAGTTTTTTTGTCCTCCGAGGACAAAGAGAGGGGTAAAAATGAGTCTCTTTAAGGACTCTAGGTTGTTACTTCCTTATCCTCGAAAGGATGAAGAGTTATTTTACATGTAGACTTTTGATCATTATCTTTAAAACATTCATTCTTATCCAATAAGGTTGATGTTTATCCTCCTATCAAAATATCTTAAGGCTTTTAATTAAACCTAAAAGGGCAAAAATCATTCTAGCCTAATTAATTTATTTGAATTATCCAACTAAATAATCTTAAGTTTTTTAAGACGGATCCACATTAGGAAACAATACCCTAAAATACCTTGTAAGCTAAATTAGGAAACTCATTTCCATTTTAGGTTATTTATTTTCAAATTTAAAACTATCATTTCATCTTATTGATCATATGAATACTTAAACTTATGCGTGTGACTTAATAGACTCCTAGATATGTTGGCAATGTATTAAGAACAATTGATCTCTAGCAAGGCATCATGATTACCCAATTCTCTATGAGGATTAATTAATCTATTATTATCTTCTACGAGCATGGTTACCATATAATTTAGTTCTCATATCGACTTATCACAATATGATCTCTAACTTGGTTATAAGTCTTGTTCGAATATGATCACATAAGTTTTCTTCGATTCCCAAATGTCTTAGCTCTTAGAGTAAATCAATTATACTCTATTGGTATACTCCTACTATGGCCATAGATTTCTAGAGTAGATATTTATCGAAGTGTAATGTGATAACTTCTTTAGCATACAAGAAATGACATGTCCTATCTTGGCCATACACCCACCTTTATTTGATTCGAGTGCACCCAATGAATTATTCATATGCAATCCTTTAATGGGTTCATCGAAATGAGTTTCAAAGTGTATAAATCCTCTAATAAACAACGGTGATGACTTTAAGTCTAAGGACCATTTGTACCCATCTTGTATGAGATTCCCATATACTAAAACCAAATGGGTTCTCATGACGAGTCAAGTCCGAGTGATATGTTATCTAACATAAATTAACTAAATGATTGCTTTGACATCATCATTCCGATAGGTATGAGATCTCTTCTTGCTATCATATAGCATAAGCATAGCACTCACAAGCCTATCCGTATATAATCAATATCCATTATTGACAATGCTATGACTTGGGATATTTAATGATATCATTTATATGCATTAGTGTTTGTCTCATATATTTTGATCAATCACTATTGCAAAGGCACATCATAAGAACTTTTATCTAATTCTACTGAGTTTATCAACATGAAACATAAGAATTAATATAATGACCTCTTTATTATTATTAAAGTAAATGATGCAATAATACATTCACTCAAGCCCATCCAAACATGGTTAGATCTTTAGACACCTACACTAACAATCTCTCACTTGCACTAGAGCCAACCGGCCATGTCCCTTAATCTCGACGATCGAGTAAGGGTCTCATGTTTCGGTTGTGACAAAGGCTTAGTCAAGGGGTCAACTATATTCTTGTTAGTGTGGATTTTTTCTATCCTTATATTACCATGACTTGTTTATCTCTATAATTAAGTGGTGGCAATGCGGTACATGCTTGGACCGTTGATGAGACCTTGGTTCCTTAGCTTGTGCTATGGATCCTTTTTACCGACCATTAAGTTATATAACATTGGATCAAATCTTTTTCTTTAATTTTTCCATACTAAACCTTTTAGTATCATGTCATTATAACTACCTTAGGAGACTCTTCACATTCCAAGTGATCTATCTCTACGGATCTATACTCTTAGACTATAAGTTACTTGACTCATATCATTATTGGGAAATTTCTTCTAGATTCCTTAATCTTTTACGGTTTACATCCCGATAATATTATAGTCGAGGTATAATTTTATATCGAATAACCATGACTACTAAGCTCCCATTAACTTTTTATATACACAAAGTTCATCTTTATTTTTTATGAATAATCAAACTCTTTGATTGCTTCATCGAACATCAACTTTTATTTCCTAGAGACATGCTTAAGTCTATTAATGGACCTTAGTGTTTTTCAAATCTTATTTATATTTTCTTAGGAACCATTAGGATGTGTCATCTACATATCCTTTTCATTTGCCTTTTCGGGAATCAATGTCTAACATTGTCACTTTAAAAGTATTAGCTTCGTCATCTTTTTTAAGGTTTACATCATCATGTGTTAAGATCGAGAGGACCATATCCTTTTGTCTTTTGATGAATTTCTTTTAAATTTATAAAGTTCTTGTGTTTTTATCTATGAGAGAGTTACAACACTTTGTAATCATTCTACTTTATGATTTCTTTATTAAAGTGTCAATTGTGAGTCTACTTAAATCTTATTGAGTTTAAATTTTCTCCTATCGTTTCTAGCATCCATAAATTCCTTCTCAAGAAATATAGTATGCCTAGTAATGAACAACGCTTTGTTCTAGTGGTAATTATTGACATCCTTGTCTTACTTTGGATATCTCATAATTTAGTACTTTATTGATTTTAAGCTTCAGTTTGTCTTTGTTAAACCTTTTGACATACATTTTATAGCCTCAAATCTTAAGAAAAGATTAATTGATTTTCTTTCCTTTCCCATATCTCATATGTAATCTATTTAAATAGACTTAATTGGAATCCTATTCATTATAACGATTGAAGTAAGGAGTATTTATCCATAAATAGAGATATTAATATGACTCATTATAGATCGATCATATCAACATGTAATGTCCGAATCTCATTCTCTTTTAGGTGATCTAAGATTTTAGTATTCAAGTAATCATTTTCTTGATCTAATCGAGATGCCTTCATACTATTGCTAGTTTATCACACGACTTTTCAAGTCTAAATTTTTAAACATTTCAAATGCTTTGGACTTACGTCTTATAACAAAAATATGAGCCACTATCATTAAAGGTTATATGATGAGCATGTTCTCTTCTTGCTTGGGT